GAGAGAGAGAGTGTGTGTGTGTGTGTGTGTGTGTGTGTGTGTGTGTGTGTGTGTGTGAGAGAGAGAGAGAGAGAGAGAGAGAGAGAGAGAGAGAGGAATGGACCTGTTCATGGCAAACAACCTCCTGAATGGAATAGGACTCGGCTCTTCAAACGACCAGTACTTCCGAGGCACTTGTCTCTGGGGCTGGAAAGATTGCTGTGCACCAAAAGAAAGAAACGTGAATAGGCGTGGGCTTCCTTTTGGCTGGTGCTGCCAACCATTTCGCTCCAGCGGCCAAGCCGCGAAAGTTGTGGTGGCCTGCAAGACGCAACAGTTACTTTGAAAACATATCTGGGACCAGTACATGAACCAAAATTGAAATTTTGCCTAGCTTGAACGTGACCAGTACCGCTGCTTGGAAAATTGAGGGTGGTCCGGTCAGACTGCAGCTTTTGTCCACCCAAAAAAAAAAAAAAAAAAAAAAGGGTCGTTGTGAAGTGCTGGACGGTCTCGACCTCCAGCCAGCAAATGAAACCAAAAGGAGGCCAAGGCTGTTGTTTCCACTCATGTGCCACCGCAGGCCAAGGCCGTTGTTTTCACTCGTGTGCCACCCCAGCTGAACTCCCATACTCCCCTTTGTACATCCTAAAACACCTGAATCTGGAGAAGTGATAGGGCCTCCCTGCACTGCTCTCGAAATGTGCAAAAGGGGAGTGAATCTTCCGGTAGAATATGGAAAGATACACGGCCATGATTTTTGTCTTTTGTGCATTGCAAGAGTAGTGCAGCAAGGCCCATAGTTAGCACTGCCAGAACCTATACTCTATTGTCAAACCGCGAGTACCTTTCCCAGCTATCGGCTGGGGGCTCTGCGCGCCGAGTTTTGGCGGCGCATCTGGCACGTGCATGAGGGAGTGCGGCCTCCGTGAGTCCGTGTTAACTTGCGCGAAACGGCAAATTGGCTGGGAAAGGAAAGGTACCGGTCGTTTGAACCACCAGTATTTTTCACATATATAGGCTGCAGGCCGGAATTAGAGGTCGAACGAAAAATGGGCCGCCAATGACATTTATCAACCGCAGACCTTTCGCCGTTGGCTTCTGAATATACCAGTATGTTTCTGCAAATGCTAGGTTAATCACTTTGTTCTGGCGGTCATTTTGTACGACTGAAGAGGCCAACGGCGATATGAGATTTTTGGATTGATACTCTGTTCATTCAATGATATATGTAAGGGACGCTGGACCCGTTTTCCAGCAGGTGCTGCTCCCCACCAATAGATCGGAGCCAAAACTTACTGTCTGGTGGTTTAAGCCTCCAGTACCTTATTCAAATATCGGCCACGGCCCCCGCCCGCCAAGCATGGCCAATGTATCTGGCCAGCGCTGGAGGCCGAATCGGGCCTCCACGTTAACATCCGCTCCTTTGCTTTCCAAGCGCGGAAAGGTCGTGTCTGGGGATGCAGCCCCACCCCTTCTTTTGCTTTTGGAAACTTTATTATGGGCCACTGGATCCGGTTAAAACGGATATGTTACATGTTTTGAATGAAATTAAACCCCCCTCCCTTGCTTGGCCCTGAAAATGTCACCATTTTAGCTGACAGTGTGGGGTCCCCCTTGGATGTACCTGAACTTCAGTTAAGTCCAAATGGACCCTCAGGAGATAAAAGGTGATAATTTTTTGGGCCAAATAAGTAGGTTTCAATTTGCCAATGGTTCAAAAAATATAAAATGTCCGTTTTGACGAAATTGCTGTTGAACTTCTTCCTACTACAGTCTTCCCCCGAATACAACGTACGGTCATTATAGCTGAATCTGGGGTATCTGTCAGTCTAAATTCAGCTATAATGACCGTACGTTGTATTCGGGGGAAGACTGTAGGAGTCCCTCCGCAGGATGACTGTAGAACAGCAAGACGTTCACTTTCCGTATTGGAATTGTATCAGATGCCTTCCTTTCCACTTCAGACCATTGAACCCTAAGGTCTCTCCGCTCGTAGCAGTTGTCTTCAGTCCAGCGTATGCCCTTCCTCTGGGCCCCGGTTCGTAGCAGCATGCCTTTGCGTCTCCCAGACACCAGTCTTCCACGATTGTCCCCGCTTCTCCCTCAGTCTTAGGCGTCATTCCCACTGTCCCCATTATCCCCTACAGACATTTGGAGGAGAGAGAGGGGAGGAAGGCGAGGGGGAGAAGGGGAAAGGCGGACAGCGGGGAAAGATGGGGAGGAGGGAGGGAAGAGGAGGGGGAGGGGGAGGGGGAGGGGGAGGGGCGGGGGGGGGGGGCGGGACGTGTGTTGAATCTTTGACTGAAGTCAGGAATGACAAATTGTACTGGGTATTTGGCCCCAGTATTTTTCTCGAGATGGTTGTGGGGTTTCCTGGCCCCTGTTTCCTTTGATATGATCAATAAAATTCCTTGTGGTTCTCCAAAAAAAAAAAAAAAAAAAAATTGTACTGTCTGCACGAGGGTGCATGTCCTTTTTTTTTTGTGGTTTTACGAATTGAGTCTGACATATTGTTGCGATTCATATATGTGTGTGTACATCTATTTATGTATAAATATATATTTGTGTATATATCTGTCTATGTGTATAATATTCTTTTAAGCCCAACCAATTCAATTACCTGTCAAATCTGGACAGGACGGCCTTTCAAGCCTTTTTTTATTGTCATTACGTATTACCGGGAACCCCGTAGCAGCCACATCCGTGCTCAAGCCTCCAACGAGGGAACATCCGGGAGCTGCACCCACCAGCAGGTGGGCGATACCGGGCAGCGGTCAGCCTGTAGCATCAGGACCGAGCTTCTTCGATGGGCCAGTCACTGTGCCTCCCCTCCGGTCCCCTCCCCCTATGAACATCATCAGTCTCTGCTCAATGCCACTCCGGGGGACCAACGGCAGATCTCTAGGTGGCGCGTATTGTCAAACAGAGTTGCCGACGGTAAACCGTAGGCAGAGAGGGAGGGAGAGGGAGAAGAGGACAACAAGAAACGAGGGAGGGGCCGTGACAAACTGTTTCGTCGGAGTTTCACCGACTGACTCAGCACGAAGCTAAACGACCTTACCTTAACCCCGGTTGTGATGAAGCATCAACGACCGCCCAACTAGTACTCATACCCCTCTGAGGTGGTGGGGACCACCGACCACTGCCCTCAAGGTTCGTGTGACGAAAATCAAAGTAGATTATCACTCACCCACACGAGATGGAAAACTCTCTCTATATATAATTTATTTACTATGAAGATTTTCATTACCGGCCGAGCAACCGGGCATGATGATGCGGGGGGGGGGTGTGACGCCTGGGATACCCGGGCAGGGGGGGGAAAAAAGAAAAAAAGAAAAAAAAAGAAATTGGCAGTGGGGGTTTTCCACGCTCGGAGAGGAGCCCAAATCCGGGCTCTTTTCTTTTTCTGAGTGTTGGCTTTAAAGGGGGGGCAAGGGAGGTATAAATTATTTTTGAAGGGGCTAAAGGGGTTTGAAGGGGGGTGCCCTGGTGTGATTCTGTTATTTTCTCTTCAGTTCCGTGAGGAATTCTGATGTGACCCTCAGCCAAAAGTTGGTTGTATTGCAGTTCTACACAACATATATTTTTCCATTTTTTTTTTTATTTTTTTTTTATTTTTTTTTGCGCTGGGGCTTCCCGGGACACTGCCCGGGGTCATGCCCGGCCGGTCACCCCGGCGTGTTTCCGGGCACAACTTGGGTGCCCGGGCGCCCTGGAAAACGGCCTAGTATAATATTTATATATATCTCTGTTTGACGATATATATAGGTGAAACTCCGACGAAACAGTTTGTCACAGCCCCTCGTTTGTTGTCCTCTTCTCTCTCTCTGCCTACGGTTTTACCGGGCAGTTCTCTTTGTGACAATATATATATATATATGTATGTGTGTGCGTGTGTGTCTAAGTGTGTGTTTGTGTATGTGCGTGCGTGTGTGTGTGTGTGTGTACGATATAGATCACGTGCGGAGTATGCTTCACTACAGAAGGCCGTGGGAAGCTTCCAGCATCTCATCATTGCGTCCCATCATTTGCTGATGGTTCTTCCAAAGGTACCATTCGTTTTTTCCCAACTACTCTCTTTTTGTTTTTTGTTAAGTGTATACTCACACTAGGTCGTCCTGAACTGAATGTGACTCTGATCCGGGTCCAAATCATCACAGGAAAGTCCGAATGTGAACTCGCAGGTGTGCACTAAGACAGTTTTCTTGTACCTGATCTCAGTCGATGTAATACCGTTTTCTTTTCTTTTCTTTTCTTTTCTTTTCTTTTCTTTTTTTTTTTTTTTTTTTTTTTTTTTTTTTTTTGGGGAAAGATTGGAAATATATTGCATAAAAGATTGGGACGAGGCCGGGGACCTCACAATTCGACCCGGAGTTATCCTGGCAGCCTCAGCCAGTTTAGCTTACGAGCCAAGCTCGAAAAGGCACCAACTGTTCAAGATCTAACAACACTAACTGCTGGAAACCGGGTCCAGCGTCCCAAGCTATGTCCGAGCTCTTTCCAAAATTCATTCTTGAAGCACAATTAAAAGGGACTGCACTGCAGTCAGAATATTACTTAACCAAAATGACTGTGTGACGCTCTGAATATTTGGGCCCCTGGGCCCTGAGAAGTCGGCTGCCCATAAAAATTAGCTCCTACTCCTACAGCCTGCCAACCCAGGAGGTGCCCAAACAGGAGAAGCTTATCCCCTGGAATGAGTGTATACGAAGCAACCGCAACAATTAGACTGTCATTCTCCAACAGGTCTTTGCAAGCTTAGGAACGGACGGGGGATGGGCTGGTGGGCAGACCCAGGGAGCATGCACCTAGAACGAACCGGAGTTATGTCCCTATCTGTAGACGGTGTCTTACTAACTCTCTGCCTTTGAACCTAGTAACCACGGGCCTAAAGATACCCGGCCCTCGTTGGTGACTTTAGCCAATTTTTCCCCTCTCGCCCAGGCTTTACGGAACCACTGGGTACCATTTCCCTTGGCTTTTTGACATTTATACCAATCTGCCCGGATCGCTCGCCGAATGTTCTCCTTTACCAGACCAATCTGTTTATGGATGCCTGTGTCTTCCTGTCGAAAGACTTTAGCTTTCCTTGCCAACCAAATTGTGTCCATGATGACTCCACGACACACCAGGGCTACATACCCCCAGCCCCCTGCGAAACTCATGGGACCGGTTGTGGCTCCGTACAGAATCCAGTTGTCCGACCATAGGAACTCTTGACCTGCTATCTCCTTCCAATAAGTGTTCCACCAATCCCACAGTTGGTCTGCCAAAGGGCAAAGTAGCCATAGATGATTGGCAGACTCCCATCCCCAGTCACACCTTTCACACTTATCAGGGATGTCTAAGCCTTTAGTTGCCAACCACAGGGCAGTCGGCATGACCTGCAGGGATTGTTGCCAGATCAAACTGGCGTGTGTGTTTCTGAGAAGGTATACGTTTAAGAGCAGACCACTGTTTTTGCCACTCTGGTACTACCGCTGCATTACCCTTATCCTTCTGAAACCTTCTGATGGCCTTTGACTTTGGCGGGTCTTGGACAGAAGCTGCCTGGACGGCTACTCCAACCTTTGGTCTGTAATTAATCAACGGAACTGATTCAGCTAGACCCAACTTCTCTCTACCCCAACCATTGATTAATGGTTCAACTTTAAAGTTCTCTGCTTCCCCTAGAAAAACAAAGGAGGCCGGGGGCCAAGTCCCACTAGCAGCGTTGAGCTACCTCAACGCCTGAATCTGGACGTGTTTGTGGAGATGTGCAGAAATGGTGTTGAGTTTCCTGAACTGCACGTCTCCACAAACACGTCCAGATTCAGGCGTTGAGGTAGCTCAACGCTGCTAGTGGGACTTGGCCCCGGGGACCCCACACCTCACACTTCTACCCGGTGGATCCTGTAGCTGGATCCGTTCCAGCGTCCCTTTGTCCAATCTGTTAGGTACCTAACAGATTGAAGCTCATAAATGGACAGAATTTCATAGCCCCCATTTTTTTTCTGTAGCCAACTTCCCAAAAATGCTTTGAATCTCAGAAAAAAAAATGGGGGCTATGAAATTCTGTCTGGAAACCAGGTCCAGGGGCCAAGTCGCACTAGCAGCGTTGAGCTACCTCAACGCCTGAATCTGGACGCTTTTGTGGAGACGTGCAGAAATGGTGTTGAGTTTCCTGAACTGCACGCCTCCACAAACAGGTCCAGATTCAGGCGTTGAGGTAGCTCAACGCTGCTAGTGCGACTTGGCCCCAAAGTCCCTTGCCTACGTATTTTCGTGACAATTTCAAAGATAGTGACTTTCAGCTCCTGGTGAAACAAACGACACTTAATTCCTCGTCCATTTCGAAAAATAACATTCAGCTGCTGAATTTCAGCATGATTCAGGTCAACCATATGCCTACCAAACACAGATTTTCTGTCGCTGGTAATAATCCATTGTCAATAAAGCCAATCAGAGATAGCCATCCCTCCCTTCTGCTGAGATTGAGCCCCTCTTGACCAACCTTGTCCAAGCGGTGAGTCTACCTCAGCCAAACTTGCTGAAGTGGGGGAATCGACACACCTATAAGAGGGTCATAAAGCCAATCAGAGATAGCCATCCCTCCCTTCTGCTGAGATTGAGGCGAAATTTTCCGGCTTTTGCCCAGGTCTTGCGGAACCAGTAGAGGTTTCTTTCTTTTCTGCAGGCCCTCTCCGCCTTTTTCTTTCCTTTTCTTTTTTTTCTTTTTTTCTTCTTTCTTTTCTTTTCTTTTCTCCTGCCTTTCCAGTCAGCCAGGATCATAGTTCTCCTTTTTTTTTTGTTCTTTTTTTTTTTTTCTTTTTTTTCATAGTTCTCGAGTTACTCCTGATTTGTGATTGTTGTTGAGGTATAGGGCATCGCCACACCACTCTCGAAATTTGCAAAATGGGAATGAACTTCCCAATAGAACATGGCCAGATGCACCCGCCACATTTTAAATTGGCTTTTTCACATTTCGAGAGTGGTGTGGCGAGGCCCATAGTTATTTGCTCGCCTTTGAATACGACTGGCAAGATGGTTGGATTCCAATTGTGTCTCCGTTTTTTTTTTTTTTTTTTTTTTTGTTTGTTTGTTTTTTGTTCCGATGTGGATCGATGGACCACGAATCAGACATTAAACTGATAATAAACCCAAGGCCTTTTTTTTTTTCTTTTTTTTTTTTTCTCTTTCACCACTGGGAGCTTTTGGAACTGAATGTGACCGCAATCCAAGTGAAATACATAAAAAAAATGTTGGGAATTCGTAGTGACATTATCTTTCACCAAGCAGATAATTCGTATGGTTCAAATCTCTCCTTCTGATCATGAGATTTTTGTCGTTTTGCAACTGAATGGTACTGTACTCCGTGTGAAATGCATCCATGAAAACTCGGAAATGTGTAATCACACTATAAAATTCACAAAGCCGATACCTTTTTTACATCGTTCGATCTCTCATTCTGATCGCATCCTTCAAACAGCCCTCTCTCTTAAATCGGGGACTTAATAGAACACCATTCCCTCTGCTCTGCCATACCTTCTTTTTATATATATATATATAAATCGGGCACTTTTTAATATATATATATCGTCACAAACAGAAATATATATATATATATATATATATTGTGACGATATATATATATATATATATATATATATATATATATTCAGCCTCCTGATGAGTCGGTGAAACTCCGACGAAACAGTTTGTCACAGCCCCTCGTTTGTTGTCCTCTTCTCCCTCTCTGCCTACGGTTTACCGTAGGCAGTTCTATTTGTGACGATATATATATACATATATATAAACACAGCCAGTACCAGTATCACAGGGGTTCGAATCAAGTACTAGGAATACAGTACCAATCAAGTATCAATCGAGTACCAATCAAGTGCCCATAAAGTAGTGTTTGATTGTTTGGTTGCTTGGTTGATGGGTTGGTTTGCTGACTGATTGATGATTTGATTGGTTGGTTGATTAATTGGTTCAGGGAGAGCTGGCTTATGACACAACAATGGAAGCCATTGAGGGGATAGCTGCGGAGGCGCACAGGTTGAAGCGAACGTTAGAAGGCTCCGTGTACCTTGGATGGCCCGGCGGCGGTCTTCAATGTGTGCTCACTCCCGTGCTCGTATCTGGGGAAGGCCTGCTGCCCAACTTAGGTAGTACTGACCTGTGTCTTGACGACAAGGACACCAGAGGGGTGCTGGAGACGCTGGTGATCTCCGCTTTGGGAATGGCTGAGCTGCTTCTTTCTATCGCTGAAATGCTGTCGATCATGCTGATTGAACAGAAGAGCGGCCGGACCAACGATCTCTGGTGGCCTGTCAAGTGAGTAGGGGCATCAGGAAAGGACAGGCGTTCGTTCTGACAGTATAATTACTACCCCGCCGGCCTAGCCCGCCGACCTGGTCGGTCGGCCGCCCTCCGAAGGATGAGCTGACCGAGCCGTGCCGACGCAGAATACGATGTTACATCGCCTCGGTAGAATTGTGTCATTGGGTAAGGGCATACTCACACTAGTACTTTCTCTACCAAGCCATGGAGCGACTGGATTGCTTCCAGATTCATGCCTTCTGGCCGTAATTGCGGTCACGTACATTCACGAATTTAAGTAGTACAGCTATGTTTTGTTGACACAGCTTTATCGCACACTGGCATTGAGTCCCAATTACGGCAGTACTGAGTTCTCCATCTGCCATTGTACCAAATTACGGCCAGAAGGCACAGATCTGACCGCAATTACGGCCAGATCGTCGCTCTGTTTTGTTGGCACAGCTGTATCGCACGCTGGCATTGAGTCAATTTATGAACGAACTTCCTCTGGGGGGCAGCTTGTGCAGTGGTGGTGAAATGCACACCTGAGTTCTCCATCTGCCATAGTACCAAATTACGGCCAGAAGGCACGAATCAGACCGCAAATACAGCCAGAAGGCATGAATCTGACCGCAGTTACGGCCAAATCTGCTTCTACGCTGTTCTAAGTCCATGGAGTGTTGAGAGAGAGAGAGAGAGAGAGAGCGAGAGAGGAAGTAACCTCCCCACGTCGTGATGAAGAGAGAGAGGGGAAGGGGAACTCAGCACCACCTGCACGCTGGAGCGGGTGTAATCCGAAGAAGACAGAAGCCTTGAAGAGCATCAGATAACTTAAAACGGTTTGATCAGACGAGACTTCGAAGATCGGCGAGGGATCTTTTTTTAGGTTCCCATGCAGGATCGGCTTGGTCTTTGGGTGGTGATGGTTCGCAGTGTTGAGCAGAGCATTGAATATTCATTATCCTCTGCTGTAGTGATGGCTCTGGTGTGATGGCGGGACCCGGGACTGACAAAGTTCTCTGGCCCTGCGTGTGGCAGATGGACAGGCAGGCACACAGATGCCGAGAGCTTTTAAGTTAACAGTTGCTCATAAGAACTGTCCTAAACCTCATCTGTCTGTCTGTCTGTCTGTCTGTCTGGCTTCTGACGCCGAAAGAAGACAGACGGACTGACACATAGACAGACATGCACATGGTTGTCCTGATGACAACTAGTGTGTGTGTGTGTGTGTGTGTGTGTGTGTGTGTGTGTGTGTGTGTGTGTGTGTGTGTGTGTGTGTGTGTGTGTGTGTGGGGGGGTGGGGACGGGGGGAGGGAAGGGGGGGCGAGTTCGGAGGTGGGTGTAGGGTGTGTGATGGCGTTGTCCGGAATAATAGGAAATGAAGAACGAGAAGAAGAGAGATGTACTTGGCGGCTGAGGTTAATGTTTATGGGCAGTGTTCAGCTATACCAGTGAGGAGTAGGAGGTGTGGATATAAACTAGCACATTGATGCCGAGAGAGACATGAGGAGGAGGAGGACCGAACGGTGTTGAGTAGTTCTCCATCACGAGAAAGACAGTCTGGCGAAAAGGAGGCAGGCAGGTATAGATACCTGTCCGTTTGGTTCCTTGAAGTGCTCTCTTTCTTTTTTCTTTTGTTAGGAATTGTTTTCTTTTGTTATCCATTGTGCCCGTTTGGTTCCGTTTTGGTTCCGTTTTGGTTCCGTTTGGGTTCCGTTTTGATAGGAGCCTTTCTGTTGTTTAGGTCTCATCACAGCAGACGTCTACAGGCGAGAGAGGACTTGTGGACTACGAAGAATCGAATTGAATTGAGTTGATCTGTCAGACTGGGGCATCGAAGTCAACGAAAGAGATCAGCAGAGGCACAATGTCATCCCATCCGATCGCAGATTGGCGAAATTTTGGATGTAGATAGGTATAAAACTCAGTCCTCCTTTTTGAATCAAGTTGATGTTATCATCATGACTGATTTCAAAAGAGCTCTGTACTGGTTGGTGGCACTTTTCTGCCTGACTGGACAGGCAGGACTCAGGAGGAAAGGAAAGAAACCGTGTAGTACTAGAATGAGTGGTGAACATTTGTAACTAGCTCTCTCAGCTAAAGAGGCACGGTACTAGAATAAGCCTAAGGGCTAGATCCCACTAGGAACGAGGGTTGGAATAGGCACCTGAATGTGGATGGGTTTGATGCAGAGATGGAGAAAAACACATGGCTCACGATTTCGTGCACCTTTTTGCACAAACATGGCCAGATTCTGTTTGTTTATCCAATCCTCTGTGCTAGTGGGAGATCGCCATAAGTGATACTCTCTGGTGTTCAAGAAAAGGGAGGACTCCGAGGCAGGAGGAGAGAGAGAAACAGAGAAGAGGGAGGAGTCATCAGGGGATATGTTAAGCAGTGGACAGCGGTGGAGGCATTCTGATGGTGGTTCGGCTGCTAAGCTGGCTGGGAGAGAGAACTGAGCTGTGTGATCAGGAGTGTGGGTTGGCATGTGGAGCCATGAAGAGACTCTGAGGAGGGATGGATAGTGAGGAGAGAGGAGGGATGGCAATGAGGAGACAGAGGAGGGATCATGGATGGGTAATGATGGAGGCAGCTTCTGCTTGACTGGAGAGAGAGAGAGAGAGAGAGAGAGAGAGAGAGAGAGAGAGAGAGAGAGAGAGAGAGAGAGAGAGAGAGAGAGACGGGCTTGAGTTGTTTCCGTATTAGGAAAGTATTGAGGTACAGGATTGCTTGGGAGGACTTGGCAGTTTCCGCCTTAGGAAATTTGTGAGGTGCAAGATGGCTCGCTGTTTCCGTATTAGGAAAGTTGTTATGTACACGGTGGCTTGCAAGGAATGGTGGCTCGGTCAGCATTTCAGCGACACATCATCGAGTCTGCTAGGGACAGTGATACAGGATTGCTTGCAAGGAGTGCGCAGTTTCCGTGTTAGGAAAGTGATTAGATACAGGATTGCTTGCAAGGAGTGTGCAGTTTCCGTGTTAGGAAAGTGGCGGTAGCGACGGGGGGACAAGTGGTTGGGTGGGGTGCAGGGAGGCCGGGGACTCGGCGGAAAGGAGGGGCTGGGGCGGACATTGGGTGCCGGTCTTGTGCTGAAGGACCGAGATCTGGCTGGGCCATAAATGATGAATGACCATGATTGTGTGCATTTCGCGAGCGAACGTGAGGTAGTCCTGAGGAAGCGGCTCTTTTTTCTTCTTTTTTTTTTTCTTTCCCTTTTTTGAAAGGGAAAGACATCCTTTATTTATTATAAAAGTCGGGAACTGGGCCCGGCATCCCTTACAAAAAAGCGGCTTTCATATTGCAGCAACTAGGGCTTTACTGTACTCGAATGGAGATAGTTCTAAGACTATCAAGCAGGATGCTCAAAATGCTCAAAATGCTCAAAATGCTCAAAATGCTCAAAATGCTCAAAATGCTCAAGGGCGTGCTTCATGAGAGTGCTCAAGCTGCTCAGGTCATGCTTCATATGTTCAAGGTCCTTCAGTTGGAACTCCACTCCTGTTGGAACTCCACTTCAGAGGAAGAGGAAGGCACGAATCTGACCGCAATTTCGGCCAGAAGGCACGAATCTGACCGCAATTTCGGCCAGAAGGCACGAATCTGACCGCAATTTCGGCCAGAAGGCACGAATCTGACCGCAATTATGTTCAATGTCCTTCAGTTGGAATTCCACTCCAGTTTGAACTCCAGTTGGAACTCCACTCCAGTTGGAACTCCACTCCAGTTGGAACTCCACTCCAGTTGGGACTCCACTCCAGTTGGGACTCCAGCTATGGGATTCTCTACTTTTGAATATGACACATTGGGGAAGTGTAAATCTGAAACGTCTTCTCAGATCGCTGAAGATCATGTAAAAGTGACGACTGATGTTGATGAGGAAAGCGTTCAATGCGGCTTCAAGTTGAAAGAGAGTGTGAAAATTTTATGCGGCTGTCGGGGTAGAAACCCTTTTTCTGTACTATGCTTTTGGTGGCTAGCCACCGGGCATAACCAACTACCGTTGGTTGGAACTCCGGTCGTGGTTGGAACTCGGGTCATGGAAGGACTCGGTTGGGACTCCAGTCATGAGGGGACTCAGTTGGGACTCCAGTCATGGGAGCGGGTGTTCTTCGGTAAGAACGGTTGGCCAGCCAGCATGTTCATGGATCGTCATGCGACCATGGCAAGGAGTAAGAGGGAGAGGAGGAGCAAGACTACAGTTGGCTTTTCATATTGACAGATTAGCCTGTGAAGTACCCATCATCATAGTATGATGATGATGATGACATCTGATGATCGTGACGAGGAGGACGAGGAACCCGAGGACCGAAACGATAGTTGGCCTGCATGTTTATGGATCATCATGGAAATGACTCATTATGATATGATGATGATGACGATGATGACGACAAGCAGGAGGAAGAGGAGGAAGAGAAAGAGGAAGCGGAAGCGGAAGCGGAAGCAGAAGAGGAAGAGAGGAAGAGGAAGAGGAAGAGGATGGATACGGTGGTGGTATATGATGATGATAATGATGATGATGACAAGTAGTAGGAAGATGAAGAGGAGGAAGAGGAGGAAGAGGAGGAAGAGGAGGAAGAGGAGGAAGAGGGTAGGAGCGGGATGGGCGCGGTCGTGGGGGCTGTGTTCATGATGGACGATGAGTGTAACTCTAACAGTGGCGATAGCGTAATGATGGGCAACCATGCACAATGTATTCTGAAGAGACTGGTCCTCCGGATGATGACACCGCTTGTCATTTGGCGGCGATTGATCCATTTTGTTTCCAATCGAGCCGCCGTTCACCATTTGTGAATGTACTATTTGGATTTTCATCCTACGGGCAGATTCCAATGATCCGTCATTTTGTACGGTTGATTCTTTCCTTGT